GAGCCACACTGAGACCCTGCACCCCTGTGAAGTTCAGCTGTCCTTCCTTCATCCCACTTGCTAGTAACATCCACCATCAGTTACTGAACAGATCTGCAAAGTTTCCATTGTGAAGACAGTATTCCAGAATAAGACAGGTGCTCCCTGCTCTTCCCCCTTCCATTTTAAAGGGAGAAATAAGAATTATTTATCCTCCTGTCAAGCAGAGCAGATCCCAAGGAAAGAAGACATATTAAGTTTGCATATAATTAAAAGGGAATGAAATTAAGCCACGGGAAGAAGACCTGTGCAATGCATACACACAAAACTGCTTCTAGCTAGGTACACCAGGCAAAACAGCTCGTTAGTTTCTAAGAGCATTTAAAAGGATAACAATGGCTGTACTTCTGAAAGTTGCAAAGACCCTGAGGATCAGGCTAACAGCTTATAGGTATTTTATAAGCCCATGAAAATACGTAGCTAACAGAAGGTACTTCTGTAACCTGCAACTTCCTAAGATACCATAAAAACGAAGGAGCTGCCTAAAGCACTTATCTATGCAAACAAATCTATATTTATGTGAAATAACCTTCCGGCCTCAAGCGGAGGGAGGCGAGTGCAGGAGTCCGGCTCCTCACACGAAGGCCGGCCCCGAGCTCCCTGCTCGAACCCGGGCCCGGACGCAGGGGTTACCTATCGCCTCCCCGAGAGGCCGCCGCCCGCTCCTCCTCCTCGCCGCTCGGGGAGCTGGGGGGGGAAGCGGGAGCGAGCGGGGAGCTGCCGGAGGGACTGAGGAGCTCCTCGGAGCTGGCAAAGGACGGCGGGACGAGGTGGACGGCTCTCCTCCTCCTGCCGTGGGTCCGGGCGCCGCTGCTCATGCCGGCGAGCAGAACCGGGAGTAGAAGGCAGCACCTAACAACGGTCAACGGCTTCTTCCCGCCCGCCACCAGAGAGCACCGCTCTCCCGGCGGCCCCCGCGGCTCCCTCCTCTCCCCTTCCTCCTCCAAACGCCGCCATGGCAACCGGGACGCCCCGCCGCCAATCTTCTCGCCCGCCCGCTGCGCGCCCCGCGCCTGCGCCGGCCGCGCGTTGCCTCAGCCCGGCTGAGGGGGGCCGCAGGCCCGCGAGACGCTGTCCCCGTTGGTCCGCATTGGGCTCTTAAGATGAGCTCTGTACAGCTGTTCTTTCTTCCCGAGGAACAGTTTTGCACATTTAGCCGTTCAATAAACGGGAATCAGCAACCTCACGCGTAAATGATGATTTCCAACATGTCAGAAGAACATAGCTTAGCGTTTTCCAACAGCCAAGCCCAAGACAAGTGACACCTAAAATAACATAAGCTGATGATTCAAGCATTGGAGACAACAAAATACCATTAGAACGTAAATTTCATGCCAAGTAAAGTTACAACAAGAAAACTTCACATCAGACTGACTTCTTACAAGGCGCACAGTGCAATGCCTCAGCCTTGTTAAACAGAAACCACATATGGTTTTACATGAATGTCTGTGTTTGTGCTGCATGCAGCTAAGACATCCAGGAAGTAGAAACGTTTTTACTACATGGTTAAACAAGCACTGAGAGCAAAGCTCCAGGTCATGGTGGGAATGAAAACTTCAAGTATTTCAACAAGGCAATTTCAAACCATCTGAGGAAGGCTTGAAAACCTTCCCTGGCTTTAAAGCCCGGCTCATAGTGAAGACTGGCAACAGTCTGAGAGGACAAAAAAGTCCTGTCTCACTGAATTGAGGAATTCTGGAGCTCACTGCACTGGGCACCTCTTGCTTCTGATGGAAGACCCAGAGCTGCTACTCTGGGATGGCTTGAAACTGGGAAATGAATATCTCAAGGCAACACAGCAACCAGCTGCAATCTTTCCAAAGACACGTACATGAGTCTTTCTCTTCCCTCCTGGGAAGCCCCTCCTTGGCCATTCAAGAACAAGAATTGGGCAAGTAGCTTATATTAAGAAACCTCAGCATTGTAACAAGGTTTATGCATTGCAACAACCTACAGAGAGGGAGGTAAAAGCCAATTCACCTTTCAGTGGATTGAGGCATCGCTACTGGAATAGAAAAGTATAAAATAATACCATTGTTATCCCTCTTCTTACTGCTCTGCCCAACTTGTCAAGCCTGCTCCACAGCCACTCTGCCCTAGTTAATAACACAGGCATGGTAAGAGCCCAAACAACATCCTTTGTTAAATAGTAAGGATTGAAACAACAACCCTGCAGGTTCAGGTACACCACTCCTATGGCCATAGAAGGCCTGACAAGCAGACAAACAGCATGTTACGAGGACATGCTTCACAGCAAAACCTTAATTCTGTGAATTTAGCACCATAATAGGAAAGCCTCCTTCTAAAAAGCATCTGCCCTGGCAGGAATTAATCTCCAACTCTGCTGAAGCCTAGGGCAAAATGAAACCGACACAATGAAGTTGCTGCAAATAACTGAGCTTAGTTAATAAATATATATACACACCCTTACGGTTGTTACCACTGTTGAAAAAACAGCTTATTTTCTCACCAAAGAAATGGCAAAAAGTACATTCAGTCTTTCAGTGCTAACTGAACCAACACCATCATAGACTATGGAATAAGTACTTAAAGCTATCTAGCAACAGGGAGTTAAATTCAGAGTAAAGACAGAGTGATGTATACACAGACCTATACTTTCTGTCTGTTCAGTCATGCCAATCAGCATGTCTGAACATCCAAACGCTCCTGACAAATTGCTCACAAGTAACCCCTAATTGCCATCCACAGAAGCTGAAAAACCATTTAACATAGAAAATGATGTTAAGGAAGCAATTTTACAGGTAACTAACACAGAAGAGAATTAAATTCTAGGCATAAATCAACTACCCTGAATCACTAACTACCCTGACAACTGTATGAAATACCTGAATTTGCCAAATCTTCTTTATGGTAACAGTTGAAATTTAGAAATTGAACTATAATCTGATCAGCTCAGTCTCCAAAAACTTATGAGGCATGAGAAGGAACCTCTCAGTTCAACCTGATTAGTACTATACAGATTTAATAAAAAGAATCAGATCTGATTCTTTTCAGATTTAACGCATAGTTCCACCCCTACACACAGGAATACAGAAAATGCGTAAGAATAATCTTACTGAAAAACTCACCTTACTAAATTCAGACACAAAATAAGGCTTAGACAAGATGCCTAAAGTTTGAAAAATGTGTATCTTAGTTTTACTTGCAACCTGGAAAAAACAAAACAAATCAAAACAAACAAAAAAACTACAACAGAAAATTTTAACAAAATATAGCCAAATTTGCCTTACTGAGTCTTCAGATATTCCAGTGTAGGGAAAAACAATGTGGCAAGCACAGGAGTGAGGAAGAAAACTACTTGGCTCATGCTGTGTCAGGGCTGAACGAGCCCTGCCTATACTTGTCTACTGGCTATTTTTGTGCCTGCATTTGTAGTTCTTCTTGAAGAGAGGTTGTGGAATCTAGAAGACAATAAATTACTTCAGTTTTCCTTCTTGGCAGAGTGTATTAACATCTCTGTGATACACCATGCTCACAGCCCTCCTCCTTTTGAACAGCCTTCGCTTCTCCAGCTCATTCATGCTCCTGCACAAAGTCTTTTTCTCTTTAAAAGCGTCAGGAACAGATTTACTTGCTCTTTTTTGGCCTGAAATTTTGAAGGCATTTACAGGTTATGCTTTTGTTACTGGAAACCAGTGACTCACTTCTCATTTTGTTACCCTCAAGTCTAAATGATTTCCCCACAGTAAATGCCACAGTGATTATTAACTACTATTTCTTAGGTAAAACCTAAATTTATAGTAGTGTTGTGCCATGAATGCAAGATCTGAAATGTGTCCATTCATGCTCCAAGTTCTTATAGTATACAACAGTGAAGAGCAATTTGTGATGTATTATCCCATTTCAGATTTCACTTCCTTAATTATTGAATCATCTTCAACTGAAAGTCAGTACTAACAGTAAATCTGTCAGACTCTACTGCATGGTATGTGAAAGGCAATATTAGAAACTCTTGCTAAAAATAAACTTGTTATGCTAGCACTGAAAGATCAAAAACAACTGTGTAATTAAAAGTTATTAAGTTGGGAGACACAGCAAAAGAGGCATTACCTGGTAGCTGGATTTCTCTGGGTTCTTCTTGTGGGACCATCCATAGGTGACAGGCAATGCTGAGACAGGCAAGTTTTGCAGCACTGCTTCTTGGTATGTTGATTTCAGTAGCTACTGCCAGCAATCTCTCACCTCTACCAGTAGATAAAACCTGTGTGTGTTGGAAGACACTGGGCTGACAGCATTAAAAGATAACTGCTAGCATCACTGTAAGTCCAAAATCAGACTGATACACAAATACTGGAACACCAAATGGATCACATCTGAGCATTTTAATAGAATTTCAGTGAAGACTCATTTGTAAAACAGAGGAAGAAATCAATGCATACCAAAGAATATTGTTTGGAAACACAACAGGCTTTCTGAAAGCTGGATGGTTGGACTTCCTTCCTTACCGATTATGAAATGGCAGCTGACATTTATTGTCCTTTTTGAGAAGTAATCCCGTGGGAAGTATTCCTGTTATCTGTGAGTGGCTGGCCGATAGAGGGAGCATGGAACAGGCTAGGCTCTGACAAAACTATGGCTTTAAAAAAACCTGCCTGCAACTCTCAGCATAGAAATAGTACCAAAACCAAACTCATCATCTGTATATTTTTCTAAGCCATTCCAAAATCATTTAAACTCAAACACAGTATGTGTTTTATGACTCCTTCATAAAAGGGCAAGGACTTCTCTGAAGGTTTTAACCTTTTGCATGCCAAGAGTCAGCATTAGTCCAAGATCAGAAATCCACTTGTAAATGGCAACTTTCTTATTTTTTCTGGCAATTGTTTCCTGAAATTCTCACCACATGTAGCAGAGAGCAGATGACAAATTATTTATGCTCAATAATTTTATATGTGAGCCATTTTCAGCCTTAAACTTTTGAAAAATTGAGAAAATAACAATCAATATTCATATACCCTTTATTTGCTTCAGTGTAACATTCCATGCTAATTGCAGATGTAATATTCATGAGTGTAAATATAAGAATTAACAACTCGGGGTCGGTTTTCTTCACTTTTGCTTTACATGTGAATATTTTGGCTTACAAAATTAACAGAATACAGTAAATAATCCTCCCATACTTTATACAAACTACATGATTTTGATATACAAGGATTCTGTTTTTATTACAGTGACAATATACAACCATATCTATTTACAATGCAAAAAGTATATAAACCACATTTTAAACATTCTGCTACTGGCAGCCACTATTGTTTAGGAGGTAGCTTTAATTAACAAAATGAACTGAAGCCACATTTCCCATCATGTGTTCTATCAAATAATTTACAATACAAAGATAAAAATTCATTGTATGAACAGTATATACAGTTTAATTCTCAAAACAGCAATCTAGCTTTAAATCTTAATGAGGATGTCTCCAGAATAACTGGGATGGCAGTGGATTTGCACTTAAATTTAGTGTATTGTTCAAGAAACATACATATATTTACTTAATCATGCATTCATAACTTTGGATTAATCGATTTCAAACTAAATATAGATAAATGGATTGCTGATTGTACTTAAATCATTTGGGTCTCAGGACTTGAATGGTTTAAAACTATTGCACTGATTTACATGAAAATCAGTGACTCTGCACAGTGTACTTCACTCTAAGTAAAATAACTGGAAAAATGCTTTTCTTTACTGCAAAAATGCTTTCCATTTTCCCTCCATTTGCTAAAATCTCAGTCTATTCATAGGTATTATTGCAACACTGTAACATTCTACAGGCTGCAGAGTATTAGCTGGTCTTTCTGCAAAGACAGCGGTGTACAATGACAGCACCGCTAACACCCCCGATGCATCAATACTCCTTCCAACAGTGTGACCTGACTGCCTAATACTAAAGCAAGTTCCTGTGGTTCACCTGAAGTCATGCATCATCACTGGAAAAATGTGTTCAACCCTATTATTCCGGACAGCTGTTAATATTCTTATTTCATCATCTACAGGTATTGTGGATTACAAGCGCTTGATTGTAACAAAACTTTTTTGTTAAAAATTGAGTATTCTGAAATACAAAACAAACATGGTATTCCTATATTGCTGTCACAGTTATGTGTGGGAGAATTAATCCCTTTTTTGGCCCTGCAGTAAAATTCATCCTGAGATTCAATGCTGAATACACTATACAAAGCTAGCAAGAGAGGTTTTTTGCTCAATTATAGAAAAGTCACATTTAAAAATAATTTCTTTTACTACTAAACAGCTGTCTTTTAAATTGTGCTTTGGCAGGAAAAATTAAAAAGAAATCAACAGAACGTACCTCACCAATAGCAGAAGCAAAGTACAACTGGAGTACAATGTGGAAACATATCATTAGCATGTAAAAAAATGTATAAAAGAAACCACTATTGTGTGGAAAAAGAGTAAAAATATTGGGTAACAAATTTGGTTTACCAATTATTTACAGTCAGGGCAATCGATTAATTTGTTTCATTATTTTTTAACGTATGGCTCAAGAAATTACTGCCCACTTCCCTTCTTTACAAGTGACACTAAACAATGATTACAAAAGTGTTTCCTGCTCGGAAAGGTCAAAACAGGCAACAGTCTATGAAGGATTATACCTCTTTATTAGAACAGCTGATGGCAAAAGGCCTTTTCAGTCTTTAATTCTTGGTATGTTGTAGGCATAACGAACCAAAGGGAACCCTCGGCTTTGGTAGAAGCATGCACGGCCACAGGCCTGCACTTGGTCTGAGCTGTCCGACACGAAGGAGTCGTCCTCATCCGCATAGTCAGAGTGGGCTGACTGGGTTCCACAGTCTGACCAGTAGCCATCCGCCCTTTGGCAAGGCACCACTGCCAGTGCGGGGCAGCTGTGTGATTTGATCAAGTGTTTACAGGGCACAGTCTTGGATAACAGGAGTGATTCGCAGCATTCACACACAGCGATGTTACCCTGCAAGTGCGTGTAGACACCACAGTCATAGTAAAAATCCTGCGTCACACAGCCCCCTTGAGTGTTGACGGCTATTGCCACTGCTCCATTCTTCCTGGTCATGTGGCGCCTGAGCAACTTCCAGTCTTCCTTGAACTTCGGGTTGAAGAACACGTACAGGACTGGATTAAGGCAAGCAGGCAGTGGGAAAAATATCAAAGTAACAGACTTCATAATTTCAGGGCTGATAGAAATCGCAGTGATCAACGGTGCAAATGAGAAGAATGCAACAGGACAGAAAAAGATGCAGTTCGTGAAGATTAGCCAAGCGACATGCTTAATCATGCTGGACTGCGAGTTTTCAGAGAGGTCCTCTTTCTCCAAGTTGCAATACAGTTTAGTGTAGATAACAGCCATTAGCAAAAATGCTAATGAATTCAGGAGCACTAAAGTTACGGTGAAACCTAACGAAGGTGTTTCTCCAGTGGGGAAGGGCAAACAAAGGGGTGATGCTGAGTACTCTGCTTTGTAAAATAGTGGTAAGCATCCTGCTACCATGGCACACAGGAAAGCAAAAACCGCTGCAACCTGAAATTGTTTTTGGCGATTGCTTTTCCCCTTTTTAATGATCTCCTTCGCAGAGAAGCTCCGTTCAACAGCTGCCAACATCAGGAAAAAAATGGCACTTTCTGACGAAAAGACGGCAAGAAACCCAGCCGCTCTGCAACCACTGCCAGTCTCCCACCATATGCCAAATTCAGCAAATCTTCCCCAAGAGACAGCATCCAAGAAAGTTAAAATACCAGTATAGACTCCCATAAATAAGTTAGAGACAGAAATCAGACCTATAAACAGTTTAGAAGATGGCAATGGAGTACAGGATGCAAATATTGTTAACATGACAAGCAGGTTGAAGAATAAAGCAACCAAAAAAATGAACCAAACAGTAAGTCGAATCATCCAGCTGCCCAATAAATATTCACAAGGCTTAAAAGCACCTAGAAGAAAGAAAAAAAACAAAAAAACAAAACAGAAGGACAAGCAATTTAGGAAAAAAATTGTGCCTTAATAAGCAACGTTTTCAAAAGGTATTACGTGAGCAGTCCTCATTAATTCATGAATAGAGCACACAGCTGAACTGCTAAACAGGTCAGTTGAAAGTAAACTATTCTGCTGAAGCTATTTACTAATTAATTATGCCTGAAATAATAATTACAGTGATGAATGGTCACTTGAGAATACTTCATGTAAACAAGCTCCCTAAACAAACTTAATTACCTTTCAGCTACTCAAAATAGCTTTCATTAGTGCCACGTAAATACCTTTTGTTTTCTTTAGATTTCATACTTCATTTAAAAACCACTGGTACCAAATAAAAGCTAATGTTCACAACCAACTTGCAAAGTGAAAGAATTTTTTAGAAGTAGCATGTTCTCTTGAAAAATGACTCGCAAACATGCCTTGTGGAGCAACTTTTGGTCACAGGGAAGCATCTGTAAAACAGCTGACAAATTCAATTTATCAGCTTTAACAGGGACAGGAATTCACCACAAGCCCTCTCCCCAACCCTTGTCACTGAAAGGCACTGTGAGCTTGGAAAGTCATATCAGGAAAATGATTTTTTGCTTCTTCTTCTTTTGCCACTTAAGAAAAATAATAAAATACAGCCAACAAGAAAAATAATACGAACTGAGACAAGGAGGAAAGGTCACTACTCCTGCTTACCCCTTTAATCCTTCTAATTGCTATTTATTCCATAGGGAAATCCTACTGATTTTAAGTAACAATTAGAAGAGTTTAACCCCTCCTACATCCCCATTAAGCACTGCTAATTGTCCGAAGCACAATAGTTGGGGATCTCTCCCTGCGGTCAGGCACTCTGGGAGCTGAAGGCAGAGCAGGAAAGCCCCAGACTGTGCTACCACCTCAGGCTGGAGCTTCGGAGCTGGATTCAGCCTATGACTCCTGGCTCTGCACAGCTCATGCTCTCCCTTCAGGCAGGTGAAAGGTAAGTACAACCCATCCCTCCTGCAGGCTGGAACAGCAATGAGGCAGAACGATTAAATGCCAGCACAAAAATCTCCCAAAGCATAAAGCAACTTCCAGAAACTACTGAAGTGACAAATCAAAAAAGAATCTGCTTGTTTGTTTAAACGAGCAAGCTTCATTTCTGGGCAAGAAATAATGGTGCTGACTGGATTATCAGATCAGTAAAATCCCTTTTTTTACAGATATTTCTAAGACATCCTCGCCAGAATAATTATTTTTACGTACATTCATGCGATGCAAAAATACCTGCTAAGCTGAATCTACTTATAAATGAAAACAACTTTCACCTTAGGAAATGTAAAAGTGTCAGTGCTGTGCTTCAAAAAGCACTTTTCTAGTAGCTGTGCAGCGAGGCATCTTTGGAGAAAAAAATCCACCACATTTTCCTGTCTTTCTCCCAGGGTCTAGCTATCCTGAGAGTTAAAAATTACCCTCCCCTTTAAACAATATTCCCAGCCCACAGGGGGAAATTCATGCTGGGAAAGAAGAGTTTCATGGCTTTCAGTGCTATGCTACTTGAATGCCACTGTTCAGCAATCCATTCCTGCCATTAGGCAAAGCAGAAAGTGGATCTACGAGATGAGCAATGATTCAGAGCTTAGATGGTGGGTGGAGTGTCCTACTTATGACCAAATGACAGCACGGTATAGAAAACAAGTTGTTTGGGAGGGACTGGTAAAAAACAAGGCAAATTGTGATCTTGTAGAACACGCTCTTCCTTCCTTTTAGAGCTACAGCATCTCTGGCATGGGCAAAAAGAGAGAGCTAAAAGCTTTAAAGATTTAACCTATGTAACACACCATCTGAATTCTCATTCTGTGAACAAAAGACCAAAAGCAAATAAGCAGCATTGGTCAAATTATTTCTCAGATTACATATGGCTACATTAATAATGTATTTTGACTTTCTGACCACAATTTTTTTTTGGTTGTGATTAAGAAATCCTTGGGATATTCTGTATACTAAAGCCAGAGCTAGCCAAGAGATGAAATGCTGACAGATTTTCATAATGGATGTAAAGCACCAGTTTAGGAGAAGAGAATGAAACAAAACTTGGAACCCCCCTGCTCATCCAGTATTAACTTCTCTGGAAGTATGCCGTTCCCCCTGTCTGTGTGTTCCTATTTGTGCAAAGATGAGGGTATAAGAGGTACAGAAGGAATCCTCTGGAGAGCCCATGGCAAAGGCAAGGTTGTAGGGCACCACAGCAAATGCTTTCAGAGCCAAGTGGAACCGTGTGTGGAAATTTGCAGTTTGAGGAAGATAAGCTGAAGGGCAGCAATGAAGCTGCCAAGGATGGAAATACTTGTTTGCAAGATCAAAGACTTTCAACACTCCTGGGCTGTTCAAGCCTGAATTGGAATAGTTCTGATATGCCAATAAGAATACTCATTGCACAGGTAGCTGTAGCAATTTAAGATGCTACCTGTAACAGCCCTCTGCTGTCAGTTAATGCAGCTACAGTAGGGCTGGGGAACAGATTAGCTGAAGTATTCCCCATTCTCTCTCCTGCAAAGATAATCAAGTTTAGTTAAAACCACCCATGACAGTAGTTTGAGTTAAGCTTTTAAAGCACAGGCTGACTTCACATTGAAGCAGATGAGCATTCATACAGGCATCTCTTTGGCAACAGTAACACAGAATTAGACGGCAGTGCATTAAACACAGCAGGTTCTAAATACAAGCATTACAGTCTTGCTTGTTCTGCTTATGGAAACAAAGTTCTGTTTTTTCCTAGTATAGTTCTCCAGTATAGTGCTATGTGTCTAAAGCTGAGCCAAATCTTTGTGACTGTTCATCCAAAACAATACTGACATCAACTGAAGTTTCACTCAAGCTTTGTAGAATTTCATGTTCTGTGTACAGAATGACTAGGAGGAATGAAACATGTAATTCTGCAGACAGCTATTTGCATAACATCATGCTAAAGCACATAATAAGATTTACCTGTTGCTGGTGTACAGTGAATAATAGTCTGTCCCAGTTCCTCATTTTCCTCATTTCTTAGAACATCTGCATCAGCTGTATCCAAGTAAAAATGAAAAACAGGTTAATTGTAGGAAGAAAAAGTGAAATTCAGCAAAGCTGCCTAGGATGGAGGTAGCCCTTTGAAAGATCAAAGGCCTAACACTTCACCAGCATTCAAGACTTTAACAGTGGAGCCGTTCCCATTTGGCACATGAAGTCAAATGCTCAGTGCAGGAATCGCTGCAGCAGTTTGAATTACTATTGCATGTCCCAGCTACTCACAATGCTCTATAACATAGCAGCAATATCTTTCATCACTGGAGAAAGATCTATGGGCCTTGAAGCGCCACAAAGAACTGTCGTGGTTTAAGTGAAACCACGTGGTTTAAGTGAAAGGACAAGTCCTTTCTGAACAGAAAGGTCAAAATACTAAGAACCATAACACTTTTTCTGCTCTGGCAGAAAATGACAGAAAAATACTGGCAATTATTCTTTTATTATTATTTTTAATTTTTTTTTTTAAACAGGCAAATCTTGCACTGTCAGATAATACATTTCACTTTCATTTAGAAGGAACGTGGCAGTGCCAATCTGTAAGCAACTCCTAAGCACTTTCAGGGACAGCTTTTGTATTCCTATAAATATTTTCATTTTCCAAATTTCCTTATTCAAAGACAAAATACACCATTATTCAGTCTAGTCTGGCCCAAAATAATACTGCTGGTTTAGCACAATGAAACGCTTACCCTTCTCACGATCCAGCAAGGCACCTTGATCTTGGTGACCCGAATCTTCAGCATTAGAGTTTAAGTAAGAACCACAACCCCAAAATGCACAGCACTGGTAAGCATATGGTACAGAGAGTGACCTGAAGTACAGGCAGAATACCAGTGTTACCCATTGTAACCAACATTAAGATTACCATCTATTAATAACATTTAGATAGCACACTTGAGTGCCAAACTATAAGCTTCTTTTTGTCCAAGTCAGTAATAAAAAATTATTACTTCAAACTAGATCAGTTGTAACCATTTTTGATGAATTTTTGCACTGAGATAAAGAATTGGTGAAGACCTACATGTCTGCTGCAAGGAGTACAATGAAAATACTGTGATGTTTAGCACTCTTTACTACTGATTCTACTCCTTATACAAACCAAATTCTGATCAGTGTTTGTGGCGTTCCTGTGCAAATGAAACTGCAAACTAATTAAGCAAACTAATTAAGGAGTAACTGCTTTGTAAGTAAGCTAATTCCCAGATGATATTAAAAATTACGTCTTTCCTTCCCACTCTTCACTTTGTGGCCCCAAAAGAGGAGGGTTTTTTTCCCTATTTTGTTTATTTGAGTTTAACATAAATGGCACATACTATTAATTCTGGTAGAGAAGTACAGCTGCACACAGAGATTTAAGAAGTTCACATAAAAAAATGAGATAATAGCAGACCAGAAGTTGATTTTTCTGACTCAAGGTTACAATATCAGCTATCTGCAGTATTGTTTCTGAATTCTGTTCTTGTAAATGTCATCAGTCTGAAGGATTCCACAATGCTTTAGTTCTCAGACACAGATCAAAACCTAAAAAACAATCTGCTGTTTCTGCAGGACTGCTGAGGCCTGATTCTAAAAGTGGCATGGATTCCTTCCTTGGTCTTAGACAAATTAATAGTATGGGAAAAAAAGAAAGAAGTTCTTTACTGTGAGGGTGGTGAGGCACTGGCACAGGCTGCCCAGAGAAGCTGTGGCTGCCCCATCTTTGGCAGTGTTCAAAGCTGGACAGGACCTGGAGCAACCTGATCTAGTGGAAGGTGTCCCTGCCTGTGGCAGAGGGTTGAAACTGGATGAACTTAAGGTCCTTGCCAAACCATTCTATGATTCATCACGAGTATTATCTAAACTGGCTTAATTTATTGTCTTATTGCTTGCTACTGTCAAAACAAGTGAGGCACTCTGTGGTGTTATTTACCAACATACCGGAGCTTTGCAAAGCTCTTTGCTGCCAAAGCTTCTTTCAACTCTGAATTGCCTGCAAGTTTAAGCTGGTTCAGTCCACTCAATCCTTCAGTTGGAACTGAAGAGAGTTCATTGAAACTCAGGTCTCTGAAATGTGAATATTAAGACATCGTTACAACAAAGTAAGTTTGAAGATCCTTTAGCATACATTTCACTGAAATAAGAAGGCTCTTTAGGCCTCATACTGAGGCTGTGGCCTGGAAAATGCCTGTCAGCGCAGCAGGCACTGCAAACAATGGTCAGCTAGTGAGAGGTTTCACCATTCACACGTGAAACACAGAACGGGTAAATATCAATTTTAAGCTAAAAATATTTACTAGCTCAGCAGTTTAATGCTAGAGAGAGGAGGTTGCTGCACAGAACAGTCTACTTACAGGTTAACAATAGCTCCAACAGTGATGAAAGCTTCCTTGTGGATCTGTCGGATCCGATTTCTACTGAGGTCACTACAAAGAATGCCAAATGAGATTATTTTATCAGTTTTATCAAAACTTTGTAACAGCCACCGTACTGAGTGAAAAAAGCTAAGGTGACAAATGCATTATGCCTGTGTCAGAAAAGCTGGACAACCCTCCTGCTTCCCTTCTCTCCCCTAGTCAGCCAGGTGCAGTAGCAGCCAAATCCCTTGGTAAGGCAGCTGTATCCTGCTTCACCTCACCCCCAAAGGATAATCCATCTCCCATTCCTGCCCTGCTTCCATTCCTTCCTGGTGCTATCGTCACAGCCTGTGTTCCCAAGGCATAAGCTGACTCTAGCATCCCCTAATCTCAGGGTGAAGGTGCCAGGAAAATCACTTTGATGACAACCAGAGCAGCAGCAGGGAACATTGGCAGGGAAGGGGGGAGGCAACACAACAACAAGCAGAAGGGCCTCCACTCTCCTGGATTTCAAAATCCAGCTGAATCACCATGACTTATATTATGACATTCCTGTTGAAACACCTGTCAATTTTTATCCTGATAATTTCAGTGTTCCTAATACAATCTTCCTAAAGCAAGAGATATAGGAGAAAGAGATAATTTTGTTTACTGGGCTGCTCATCCTGAGGAAAACAGATAGGATCTCTCCAATAAATACTGTATAATGGAATAATACAGTAATAACATAATGCAAGATAGCAGTGATATAATGCAAAATATTGGAGTACCAAAAAAACACCACCTCCTTTTTCAATCTCCATATATATATATATATATATATATATATATATATATATATATATATGTTTTAGAAGTATCTTTATAGGCTAGAGAAACAAAATGGAGAATCAAAAGATCAGGACTGAAACTAGCTGCTGCTAATATTTCCTGCACATGGTTTGCTTCACCTTAGGATCCAGCACACTTGGGTTTTTGCCATCAATTAGATTTATAACACCAAGCAGTTTACATGAGAATAAAAAACATTATCATGTTTTACTCAGAATGCAGTTATGTGCACTTACAGGACACGAAGGGAGGACAGTCCTTGAAAGGTATCCTCTGTGATTTCATGGATTTGATTGTGCTGTAAAGAACTGCAAAGTGAAGAAGTATAAAGAGAACTAATTAGCTAACTGGTCTGACCTCAAACCAAGGGTTAGGTAGCTCCACGCCTGCCAATTCATAGATTTAGCCTTACCGATGGCAAGGCTTTTCTCATTTCCCCTTGCAGGCCAACAGTTTTACTATTTCCCATAGCCATGTTAATACAACCATGAAGCTCCTTCATGGCACCTCTGCCTAATCCCAACTCACAACTCATTTATAATTCAAAAGAGACTTAAGCGAGGACTGAATTATTTCCAAGCAAAAAAGTAACACTTTGCAAACTCTGAAGAATCACACTGAGATTTAAAGCAAATCCACTTCATTTTGCAGGGAATCTTTAGGCATGTTCTGACCCTCAGTGTACTTTAATTTCTCAAAATACAGATTTATGAAAGGAAATATGTTGACAAACACCTCAAGAGCTAATGGGAGAACTGTACTTGCAGTTCAGTAGCTCCCTTTACAATGAACCACATGTACAATGAGCCTGAAGATGTCAAGAGCATAACAGCAAAGGCCTTTAAGAAGTTTATTAGCCCTGCTAATAAACAAGAAGCTTGAGTGCCGTAGAGATAAAAGGAGAAGTAAGAACATATGCAAACATGTTCCACAACTTAGGCAGAAATATTGTTTAGGGTCTGGAAATTAAGCTTAAGAAAATTCAGTGAAGCAAGGAAAAGCAAAGATGGGTTTTGAATGTGCCTTACAGGGAGTGGAGGAAAAAAACATTTTACACAAGCATAGGCTGATGGTTAGAGGGAGCTGAAGAAGAGCAGAAGAGATAAGAGGCAAAAAGAAAAACACATAAATGCTCATTCCATTTATGTGTATAGCAATACTATTCTGAAATGCAGGATTCCTTTTTGTGCCACATGAACAATTTAAACTTAGCTAATTGAGGAAATTTAACCACTAAAAACAAGTGGTTGAATTCTCTGTCCAGCACACTTCTCACATTAGATGGTCATATCTCCGTCTTTAATCTTAGAAACTTAGAATCAAACACAAGCAAAAAAGTTTCTAGAGACTTGGATTCAGCATACTAAAGAGTCAATAAAGATAAAAACCATGTTTTTTTTCTTACATTTCTTCCAAGGAATGGCAGCCTTTAAAACTTGGCAGGTCCTTTATATTATTATAAGACAAGTCCCTTCAAAACAGAAAACAGGAGAAAGGTGCTTAGTCCAGCTCTTCTCTACTAGAAACGTCTCATCATTTGTAACCATTAAATGGATTGGCATCATCTTCCTGTTAGCAATGTTCTGAGAAGAAACTAAGGGCAGTTTACAGAAAATCATGAAGGGAATCACAATTCAATCAGTGAGGTAAAGCCAGCAACCATTACAAAAATTTCACCCATCCCAAAGCTATTCGACAAATTTCAACTACTGAAACTGGTGCCTTGTGATTGAAAAGTAACAGAAAACCAGGCTGTGTCTCTGCAGTGGCTTTGACAGCTCATGAGATACCTCCCAACCAGTATTTTTGATTCTATATCCTATACCTACATATATTCTATATTCTATTTCACTGCTTTCACTTCTGCATCTGGATATGTCTACCGCAAAACCACACTGTACAAATTCATTGAATTCTGAGAGTTGTAATCTAAAAAGGTTTACTAATAATCTGCTTTTTCAGAATAAACTGGATAGATGGTATGCAGTGCAGGAATTTAGTGCAAATTTTGATTTAGTGTGTTGGTACGTCCTTGCAAAGCATCCTCAAATTTCTGTTCCAAAATAAACTTCCATTTGAAAATAAATTCTACCTCGTCATTCCCCCCCCGTTTGTCTTCTATAAAACAGAACCTATTTTTCTCCTCCTTTTTTCACCACTTGCTTTTGTTCCAAATTTCCCTGCACGTATACTTTGTAAACATAGCTTTGCCCCTCCCTTCCCAATGGTTTAATTTACTAGTTTGGGTTTCTTTGCATTTATTCTAAAACACCCTTTTATTGCTTATTCTGTCTTTCCTTTGTATGACTATCCTCTTCCTAATCCTCATATCTATTTCTCTTAGTTCATGATGCTCCCTCCTGTGTTCTCAAACACAGAAAGTCACAGCACCGTATCACAGTATGCTAGAGATTGGAAGGGACCTCAAAAGATCATCTAGTCCAATCCCCCTGCCAGAGCAGGAACACCTAGATAATGTTACACAGGAATGTGTCCAGGCGGGTTTTGAATGTCTCCAGGGAAGGAGACTCCACAACCTCCCTGGGCAGCCTGTTCCAGTGCTCTGTCACCCTCACTGAGAAGAAGTTTCTTCTCAAGTTTAAGTGGAACCTCTTGTGTTCCAGTTTCTACCCATTGCCCCTTGTCCTATCATTGTTTGCCACTGAGTAGAGCCTGGCTCCATCCTCGTGACACTCCCCCTTTATATATTTATAGACACTTATAAGGTCACCCCTCAGTCTCCTCTTCTCCAAACTATAGAGACCCAGCTCCCTCAGGCTTTCCTCATAAGGGAGATGCTCCACTCCCTTAATCATCTTTGTTGCCCTGCGCTGGACTCTCTCCAGCAGCTCCCTGTCTTTCTTGAACTGAGGGGCCCAGAACTGGACACAATATTCCAGATGGGGTCTCACCAGGGCAGAGTAGAGGGGAAGGAGGACCTCTCTCGACCTACTAACCACCCCCCTTCTAATACACCCCAGGATGCCATTGGCCTTCTTGGCCACAAGGGCACAGTGTTGGCTCATGGTCATCCTGTCGTCCACTAGGACCCCCAGGTCCCTCTCCCCTACACTGCTCTCTAACAGGTCGTTTCCCAACCTATACTGGAACCTGGGGTTGTTCCTGCCCAGATGCAGGGCTCTACACTTTCCCTTGTTATATTTCATCAAGTTATTCCCTGCCCAACTCTCCAGCCTGTCCAGGTCTCGCTGGATGGCAGCACAGCCTTCTGGTGTGTCAGCCACTCCTCCCAGCTTAGTGTCATCAGCAAACTTGCTGATAGTACACTCAATTCCCTCATCTAAATCGTGATGGGTCAGTCCCAGTACTGACCCTTGAGGCACTCCACTAGTTACAGGCCTCCAACTAGACTCAGCCCCATAGACTACAACTCTCTGGCTTCTCTCCTTCAGCCAGTTCACAGTCCACCTCACTACCTGATCATCCAGTCCACACTTCCTCAATTTAGCTGTGAGGATGCTGTGGGAGACTGTGTCAAATGCTTTGCTGAAGTCAAGGTAGACCACATCCACCGCTCTGCCATCATCCATCCACCGTGTTATTTCCTCATAAAAGATTAAGAGATTGGTCAAACATGATTTCCCCTTGGTGAAGCCATGTTGACTGCCCCTCATAACCCTCTTATCCTTGATATGCCTTAAGATGGCACCAAGGATAAGGTGTTCCATTACTTTCCCAGGGATGGAGGTGAGGCTGACCGGTCTATAGTTACCCGGGTCCTCCTTCTTGCCCTTTTTGAAGACTGGAGTGACATTTGCTTTCCTCCAGTCCTCAGGCACCTCTCCCGTTTCCCAAGACTTGGTAAAGATGATGGAGAGTGGTCTAGCAATGACTTCCGCCAGTTCCCTCAGCACCCACGGGTGCATCCCATCTGGACCCATGGATTTATGGATGTCCAGATTGCTCAACTGGTCTCTAACCCATTCCTCATTGACTCAGGCAAACCGCTCCGTCGACCTGACTTCATCTAAGGTCTCAGGGGTACAGGGCTCTTCAGGACTGCCTGCAGCAGAGTAGACAGGGACAAAGAAGGCATTCAGTAACTCTGCCATCTCCGTATCTTCTGTCACCAAGGCACCCATCCCGTTCATCAGTGGGCCTACATTGCCTCTGGTGTTAGTTTTGTCTGCCATGTATTAAAAAAAACTGGACCTTGAGCTTGTTTGGAGGTTCTAGCAGGGGAGCGCAGCTACCGTATACCCGTGACCGATGAACGGTACCGCCTGTATCGGGGAAGGTCGTCCTCTTCGACCAAGCGCAGAGCTTCGGGAGGGACGCACGTGGAGCAGTGAGGGAGGAAGGGGACACCCGCCTAGCCAGCCAGATCAGCCGAATCAACCCTGGCGATCAATGGGGTGACAGATGTCGCAGCCAGATCGCCCTCACATCCAAAAAAAAAAAATTATTAAACCTCTCACAGTGCTTGAGTTTTGGATCAGATTCTTCAAGGTGGCACTTCCTGATACAATGTCTCATGGTAGTTTGTTTCAGGATCCAGGTAACTATTAAGAGTTTTACTCATCTGCCTGCTGTACTGTTCCTTTCTCGGAGACATAGATACCATCCAAGAATTTCCTGATATCCTTGTTCTTGACTGTAGTGGCTTGCTGGATCAGGGCAGCTGAATTGGAGACCAATTCAATGTCATTCCCTTCAAGGATCAGCTCATCTTTTTGGGCTTGAGATACTGCACAGGAAACACCTGGCCTCATGTGCACTCTGCGGATGTACTTCTCCCCCAGGAAGTTCCGGATTTCCACAAGGGAGCTGTTATCCTGTATAACCACGTTGATGGGAAAGTGAGCATACACCGATCTCATCTTGTAACGAAAGCCCAGCGTGACACCCTTTATCATGTTTTGTACATGACTGCAAATTGTGCGAACTGTTGCCAGTTCCTTTCTGTTACCCCACCACTTGTCCACACGTAGCTTCTTGTGCTTCTTTCCCAGGAGAGACAGCTCCACATTGATGTGGTTAAAATCCCTCTTCAGGGTTCCTCTGGGGCCCTTGACAATGACTGTCCGGCCCTTCAGCGACACACTGACTTGATCGGGGATGTCAACAGTCTGGTTGCTGAGAATGGTCTTCATTCTCGCAGCTGGCAGCGCGGAAACTAAACCATAACTAAACTTTACTCTGAATGTAGATGACTACTGTTGTGTTACCAGTGAGTGGTGGCAGAATGAGTTTGAAGATGCAAAGACTGTTCTGCAGCACCACCTTACATGGATTTTATACCATAAGAAAGAAACACAGTGCATGCCTATAAAAGGAATAGAAGTCATTACATCAATTCTGCCATGAGTCTTGATTCTTAAAATCAAGAAGCCGCAATCGGATCTCCAACTCCAACAGAACTACTAGGATGAGCATTTCTAAGCAATACTTTTGCTGTATATTAGATTTAAGTTTCTTTCAAAACATTTTGGTGCACATGAAAATAGAGGAGTGTATACTTACAAAGTTCGTAGCACCTTTTGCTCTTCGCATAAATTAACAGGAATACTGTTTATCTTGGTCCCTGTTAGAGTTCTGTGAGGAAAAAAGGGAAAACATAAATGTTTGCATTGTTGCTGGGAGATGGCATGTAAGAGCAGAATAAGGATGGTATCTCAGCTACCAGGGTGCTAGATTAACCATCAGTTTGTTTGTTTGGAAGCGGCCAAGTTTTCTGGCTTTCAGTTCTGTGAGAGAGAAGTTAGTATCAATGGGCTTTTCATAGGCTGTTATCAGCTCACCCTATTAAAAGAATAATTAACAGGCACCCAGATACCACATTAAGGAAAGCTATATAATTACATTTTTTGACAGGAAGAGAACATATAAGTAGTCACTCTCCAGACCCACTAATCGTGTTTCAAACACTTCATGAGAGTGTCAAAGTAAATAAATTATTGCAAAAGATTTCTGTAGAAGATACTTACAAGCTCTCCAGGTTAACAGTTCCTGTCAAATTAGGAAACCACTGCACCATGCTGGCACCCCGAATGACCCTAAGAATATTCCCACAAAAATGAGCTGTAAGCTATCAGGTAGATATTTTCACTAACAAGACATTCTAACATTCTTACTGCTTTTGTGTAAGTTTTACACTTGAACAGTATGTAAAAGTATTTTCACTGCTTCTTATACTAGTAATATGCTTAATAAATCAAACAACTGGAATTCATCAAGCTGATAAGAGTCATATCAATACATGCATACGAAAAGGGCATAAACTCATAGGTAGTTTGTAGTTCAAAGTTTGAAACCTTGCTCCGCTTCACTTACTCGTCACCCTCAGAATTATCTTTTGAGAATGTGCATACACTAACCTGCAAAACATTCTCACAATGCACATCCCTGTTCAAAAAAACACCTAGGATATATTGCAGTTTGTTTAAGTAGGAACCTGAGCATTTGGCCTGAGGTTATGTGTCTTATGCAAGGCAATCAAGATTAAAAAAAAAAGGTTGTAGAGCATATTTACTAAAGATTCTTAACAAACTGGATATTCCCAACAATAACAATGTTTATTAAAGCTTAATGCAAAAAAGTTATAAGGCAGTCATAAGATTTAGTTATTTTGAGTTCTTAGCCACAGCATTTCATATCCTTATATCCATTTATTGTTACTGTATAGTTGAGAGTATACTTACAGGGAATGCAGATCTGAGAGATTCTGAAATGCTGAGTTCCCCACAAAAGACAAAGGATTATCATACAAATGTCTGGGAAATAAAAAATGTGTTTTAATCCTTGTTCTTGTTCTTACAGTCACTGTCTGCTACATACTAAAAACAGGTGCATAAAAATTACTTACATTGTTCTTAGAAGGGGGTTTCCTGCAAATGCACCATCAGGAATTATGGAAATGTAGTTACTGTGAAATCCCCTAAAGATATTGGAGAAGAAAAAAAAAAAATTAAAAATATACTGCCAGTAGATTCAACCAATAGTTATTTTCTTCACACCTACTCAATTTCCAATCATGCCAAAACCAGGATTGTAGATACATAGGAATAAGTCAAACTGTAGGAATAACTTGGAAGGAATGATTTCTGTCTTCTGTACATCAGGTAAACAAAAAATATTTAATTAGAAAGAAACTATCTCTGTCCCAAAACATAATCCTGTGCTTTCTTTCTTCTTCCTTCTCTCTTAAGGAGGGGAGAAGGAAAACATGTGCGGTCAGTGAATATCTAATTCTGCTACTGGGGGCCAAAACCAGCTCAGATTCAGGATCTATGGTAATGGTTCTCCTTGAAGAAATTGCTTACTTATACAGCTCCAAAATGAATTCAATAGGTTCCCTGTCTAGCTGATGATTATATTTTCCTTTAATTATAGCTTCACTTAGCACTACTTAATCTGATTTAGACTGCTGCATAATAAGACAAGCATTCCTAAATCCTGGATTTTTTTTTTCTCTTTATTTATGAAAAGGAGAAAGAAAACTGGTAAAAAGGGAGAATAAGTAATACTCACAACTCCTTTAGACTTGGCAGTGCTTTTATGGCTTCAGGAAACTCTACCATGTTATTATAATTTAAATCCCTAGAAGAAAAAAAAGTAGGAGAATCATAAAATTCCTAACAGTGGTCATGAATTGTCAAAATAAGGTTTGTTTAAGACAATTCAATGAAAATAAAAAGTTCTCAGAAGATCTTTAACTAGACCATAGAATAACTTAACTTATATTTAGCCTTCTAATGTTTTACATGTTTTATAACCAGCTAATAACTTAGGTAAGATATTTAATATTATCTAGAGGATTACGCATATTAAGTCAAATGCTTCTTTAAAGCAAAGCTCGTTATTTTTCAACACCTCATAGATTTTTCTTCACTAGAATTTACATTGAAATAAACTAAGATTTCAAAGTAAAAAAAAAAAGAGTAGACAGAAATGACTACTCTTTATTAGCTTTCAGACTGTAGAAAACAAAAAGTAAATACGCCATTAGGTAATAGCAGACCCTGTAGCAAAACCAATTACAAACCCTGAACAGGAGAAGAGGGAAATCTCATCACACTGATTCAATACACATCAGTGACAGGGAACTGTTGAAACCAGTTAACCTGTCACCATTCCAGCAGTAATGTCAAGACCTGCTACAGCTGTGTTTCTGTGAAACAGACTCCTTATGAGCAGCAAAAACTCATGTAAAAAGTCTTGCATTTGCTATGCATATATACATAGCATCTAATTATTACTTAATTGAGGTTCTAAGAGAATGACAACACAGTTGGAGTAAGCAGCATTCCTGGACTCATCCAAACTCTTCATGTTAACAGAGGCTGTCACTGGCTTGCTCTTGCCCTCCTTCATTTGTTTTATTTATTTAGCATTCTCCCAAGCATACCAAAATGTGCCACTGAGGCAATACTGCATATTAGATGTTTGATCTGTGAGACAAAGGGAAGGGGGGAATGTAACCCAAGCAGCTGAAAGGCATTCCTTGGCAAGGAGACACTCTGGAGATGGAGTAGTACTGCAGATGTGGCATCTGGCCACCATGGACACCCCATACTGACAGGAGTATGAAGTGTCAGCAGGGACAGCATACACAAGGTGAGGGGAAGGTGATTCTTCCCATCCCCATCGAAAAGAACATAAAGCTCACTGTTTCAGATAAACCAGTCCATTATCTTAATATCTGCCAGTATTTGAAGTGAACTCAAGTCAATCTCTTGTATGAGATGCTGAGAACCAGGAGCTGGGCTGTTTCCTACCAGCCTGCAGAGGATCGGTTCAGGAGCTGAGTGGACATGTGAGAGACAGTCTCAGTGGCAGGCAGTGGTGCCCACCCGGTATTGGAGGAGACATGGAGAAACAGCTCTCTGGGGCCCTCTGAGAAACCTCCTGTTGTCACACAACAGTTCTGGCAGTGTATCTTAAATGTGTTTAAACCTACAGTAAATCTGAGAAACAAATATTTGTCCCTTATCACCCACAGGGCCACTTAAACACTTCTGATATATCCATCAGAAGTCAGTGGAGTGCTATGCAAAGATACACCACCCAGATCAGAGCTAGGAACATTAAGAGCTACATCATCCAGCATGACATTTCATCCACACTAATGTTTACCTGCTTCTCAATATAATTAATTAGTTTTGGTGGAGCACTGCACTGATACTAGCCTTCGGTTCCAAGACCTGAGTTGGACCCGAGTGTTGGTGCTGTGCTGCATGGTGCATACATGACTTATTTGCAAGATCTTCACCATACCAGTGACGTAACCTTAATTAAGCTGAGAACGAGACAAACACTGACCAATCCATTACTTTAAGAAGCATACTTACAAGGTTTCAAGGTTGTCTAATCCATCAAAGCAGTGTTTTCCTATAGTTTTTATTTTATTATTATGAAGATGACTAAAAAGCAAAAACAGAAGAAGTATGAAAGCAAGTTAATGATTTCATGCAAGTTAACACATTAGCATGTATTTCTATGAAATCAAGGCAGTTAAATGGTTTAGAAAAAAACACTGCATGAGGTAGGTTATGCAGAAGAATGTCTTTCACTTCCAGACAGAAATATTTCATCCTCATGTGGAAACAGAACAGATTGCCTACAGTCAAGACAGCCTATTTTAAACCTTTACTCACAATCCAGAAGGGTAATAAGAATATGCTTGAACATACATAATTTTTCATATCATCCTTGGAGACCTCATAGCAGCCTTCCAGTACCTGAAGGGGGGCTATAGGGATGCTGGGGATGGACTCTTCGTTAGGGATGTAGTGACACGACAAGGAGTAACAGGTTAAAACTTGAACAGGGGAAGTTTAGATTGGATATAAGGAAGAAATTCTTTACTGTTAGGGTGGTGAGGCACTGGAATGGTTTGCCCAGGGAGGTTGTGAATGCTCCACCCCTGGCAGTGTTCAAGGCCAGGTTGGACGAAGCCTTGGGTGGCATGGTTTAGTGTGAGGTGTCCCTGCCCATGGCAGGGGTGTTGGAACTAGATGATCTTAAGGTCCTTTCCAACCCTAACTATTCTATGATTCTACACAGAAACAGGTCTGTGGCAGATAATATTTTCTTCTTGTAATATCTCTGAAAGCTTACTTTGACAAACATTGGTTCAAAATATCCATTACTAAAATGAGATCTGAGGAACATATGCATCAAGCTCACTACCTATTTTCTATTTGACTTTTTGTTTAGGAGAAAGTCTTTAAAAAACCTTCAGTGGATTGTCTAGTACACATGGTCTAATCTCGTGTTGGCAGTATAGGCTGTTACTAGACAAGTGAGCTAAAATATAGAAAAAACATAATTTTCAGTGCCATCCAAGTAATCAAAGTAACTGAGGAGAGAATCCAAATAACCTATGAAACAGTTACACATACTCACAGAACAACAAGACTTGAAAGGTTTGTAAATGCATAGTCAGGAATGTGTGTTATTTTGTTGAGAGCCAGCGTCAATGCCTGCAGAGAGGGCAGATTGCTGAGTGGGTAGATGGGAACTTCTGTCAGACTGTTGTCATCCAGCCAAAGGTGACGCAACTGCACCAGACCCTCAAAACTGTCTTCTGGTATGGCAGTAATATGGTTGGCATCTAAACGCCTACATTAAAAGAGAAAGAATTCACACAGTAAACTCACAAACCACAGATAAATAAAAATACCAATTAAAAGAAAGCTTCATAAAAAACTTCTCAGACACTTTTAATAAAACATATTAACAAATTCATATGCTTATAATCAGCCTGTGATTATAACCATATTGAATTAGGAGCATATAATGAATATATTAATTATAAGCATATTTAATTATAAGCAAAGTGAATTGCTAACTGTAGACATCTCGCACACACGTACAAAACCTCAGCTGCTAACACCAGAACAAGTCTTTAAAATGGTAGCTTGGTAGTGCATCAAAGATTGCAGATGCATTTATACATTTGAAGTGATTATCATAGACCCATAGAATGGTTTGGGTTGGAAAGCACCGCAAAGCTCACCCAGTTCCAACCCCCTGCCATGGGCAGGGACACCTTCCACTAGACCAAGTTGCTTCCAAGCCCTGTTCAACCTGGCCTTGAACACTGCCAGGGATGGGGCAGCCACAGCTTCTCTGGCCAACCTGTGCCAGTGCCTCACCACCTTCATGGGGAAGAATTTCTTCATAAGATCTCAGCTCTATCTCCCCTCTGTCAGTTTAAAGCCATTCACCCTTGTCCTGTCACTAAATGCCCTTGTAAAAAGTCCCTCTCCAGTTTTCTTGTAAGCCCCCTTTGGGTATTGGAAGACTGCTCTAAGGTCTCCCCTGAGCCTTCTCTCCTCTCCTGTAGCTCCTCCTGTAATGTATTATTCCTATAGCTACACTGTTGACAGCATCACTCCACTTTTTGCTGTGGTGCTGCTCTGCACCTTAAGTGACTAATTTAGAGAACTGCCTTTAAAAGCAGTTCTTGAACAGTCAGAGCTATGAATTATCCTTACGAATAAAATATCTTACCATTAACCAAAACTGAGAAATTTCCCACTCTTGCAGCACCTGCTCCTTCCTTACACATTCCACAATGAGGCAAAATAGCGCATCAGCACTGTTGACCATTGTACATTATTGGATTTGCCATCACGCTTTTCCCCCAAATGAACTCCAATCACAAAGACTGGTGGTAGTGACACACATGGAAAGGGACTTAACCGCCTTCCACACAGAAAGTCAAGCCAAGCGCGACACTTAGCTCTGCTGCAGTTACCGGCTTATCTATGCTGTGGGGCTTCACCTCATCTCCAGGTTTCAAAGCAAGAAAGAAGAACTCCACACCTGGAACCCTAGGAGGCTGAAACACATGTCTGCAGCTCTGGCTCCAGACGTAAAGCCCTCATGACAGGAGGTGCAGGTGCTGGTGGCAGAATCTCACCCAGAATCCTGATCCATGACAACTGACAAACCTGATACTGCAACTCTTTGTCTAATGGCTTTAGCAGCAACAGCAGAAATTCTTATGCAAGATGACGTGCTTTTTCCTCATGCACAACACTCTGAACCAATTTGGTTTGGCATCTTCCTATTCTAGCAGTGTGGTTACTTGAATAGCATCAGTGGCAACCAGGGTAGGCAAAAGACATGGATGGGGACACATTCAGGTTTGTCTACACTATGTCATATAAGCAGATGTGTTGTGAACAGAAGTAGAAAACCACCCATACTAAAAGCTTAAGCTTGGATTTACACAGATGGAAGCCTCAGAAACAGGCAGCAGCAAGGGGTGACCCAGGAAGAAGCAAAACATTAATAAAGCAATATTCTTCATATGGAGCTGGGAGGAAAGGTCAGCAGTGACAGCCCACAGGATGAAACAAATGGACTGTAACCCATCCAAGCCAAGTTAGAGCTGTGAGCAACAGGCAGTGTTTGCCTGTTGTCTGCCCTGGAGGCTGTCTGCTCAAGGTCAACACACAGCTGAACCATGGTGACACTGCTGTGACACCTTGCATAAGTGCCTTTAAACAACTGGTGTACCAGCCCTACGATGTACACTGCTGTCTGGGGAGGCAGAACACATACACCCTCCTCCATTAGCATCGATGACACAAATCAGCACGGGTTTTAACTTCCATTAAGGCATTCATTGTGTTTCCAAAGCCATGATCAGACATGCTCTGGGAACTCTAGCTGAGTTAGTTTAAGAAGTCGTTGCCCTCCAGCCTCTTGTCCTGTCCCTCTCTAGGCTGGCAAAGTGGACCAAGTGACTGTGCTGCACTTTGTCCGAGGCAGTCATGACAACTTAAACACTGAGTTTGAAGAGAGAAGACAGGCTTGATGAAGAACTGATACACCTAATCTATATCCATAAAAGAGAGTTTTGTTGTTGTGATGTACATGGTTTACAGATTTGAGCATATTAGGAAACTCAGCAGCTGAATTTCCATGTAATAAAAAAACAAGAAATACACCAAATTAAGCAACAAATACACATACAAGTGGGAACTTTCCAACCTTTCTCTGCAGCCAAAGGCTCTCTCCTAAGATGAGCAAGGTGCCATTAGCTCTAAAGGCATACATCAAAGAGCTAATTCCTATGGTTAATATACTGGCATCCCCTTATCATTTGCCCCATGGTCTGACAGGTGTGTACACTATTCTGTTTGAATGCTTTTAGGCTGCACTGTGACGGGAACATTTCAGAGAAATTAAATGCCTGATGATAATGAAGAAAAAGGGCGGGGGGGGGGGGGGGGAAAAAGCCTGAGGCTGTGCTTCAGAAAGAAAAAACCAAACTAGACGTTACCTGTCTTTCTTCTCTTCCGTAAATTCACACACCTCCCTGAAGATCAAAAGAATTACTTTCCAGTGGAATAAACAGATCTGAGTCTTCTCCAACTAATTTCTCTCTGCTGTCCTGCTGATTTTTTTGGTTTTGTTGGGTTTGTTTTGCTTTGTTTTTAACTCGTTTTTGTTTGTTTCATTTTGTAAGCAAGGCAGCGTACCCAAAAGGCAGGCCTTAGTTCTTGTGCATACCTATGTCTGTACTTTCAGTGTGCTTCACACTAAATTCATGTACACTAGCAGACTGGAAAACCAAAACACACAATGAAGCCCTGAGCTGAGGAGCACCTCCTCTCCCACTCTTAAAGCAGAAGATGACCAGAGGAAAGAAGGATGCGAGCAATGAGGCAGCTGAACTCTCACCCAGGCAGAACAAAGAGGTCACGGAGATGATGACAAACCCTTCATCCCTACCTTGCATTGCCAAAATCTATGTCCCCCAGTACAAGTGGATCGAGCACCCAAGTAGCTGCATCTTCAACTGATGGCTCTGCACAGCCATCCAGTCTTTTGTTCATCTTCTGACCACAGCAGTAAAACTGGGGGGGCAGAAAAGACCACCACCCACAGCTGTCATTGAGCAGGCAGGTTTCCAGGTGAAAAAGGGTGCATTTCAGGCTCTCTGTCGCCTCTCTGCCAACTTTTACCATCATCTTAACAAATGCAATGTCTAAATAGAGTTGAAAGTAATAAACGATGCCAAATCAAAAAGCCCAAGCCAAGCAGAAAGACAGGACCTCGTGCTGTGATTATCCGTGCACCTCCTACCCTCCATTTACATAGTGACTTTCAGACCTCTGCAGCTGAAAATCACTGTGCTACAGAAGCCAATGGATACATCACTAAAATAAAAGTGGACTGTTCGCCCTGAGTTTTCTTTGACCTGCATTTCCAGTTTCGACAAGAAAACCTGTGATTTACAAATAGCAACAAGCAGAGCAGTGAATGAGTCAAAGTGGTTATTACGTTCAATGCAAAAAACTCAGCTGAGATGCTTCTATTTAGTGTGAAATGCATGTAACAGAGGACTTCGTGAAACAACTGAAAAGCAAACCTAGAATATTTAACAACATCCGCAAAATAACATAACTAAGGACTGTGCCTTTTCTTTAAGATGGGACAAGGGAATATTCACTACCTCATATAACCAGCAAAGTACAAGTAATATTCTTCACTTGGACTAAACTTTTACAAAGACTGTCCTTTTCCACAAAAAGTGTTAAAGACTATGTTCTTTAAATCAGAGCTTGCAGCATGTACTTAAATTCCTAATCTTTTAGAAGCTACTCCAATTCCAGCTTCCCTATAGGCACTGGCTTGTGAGAGACCTTTACATTTTAGTCCATAAATTCAGAGTTCACTTGTAGAGCCATCACCTTCACTTTTATTACCTGTCAGGTTCCCTCCTAAAACAAACTCCAACTTCCACCAGAAAGAAGAGCAGGAGGATGATATGACCCTATATATTCAGCAGCTCTTATATAAGTATTTGACATATTGTTAAAACACGCAAAGAACATGGCAACTTAAAGGACTTCAATCAACTCAGACTTAAGGAAACTCAAGCTAGGATGAACTCCTACCTCAATTCAAACAAATAAAAGCTATGAAGTCTAACACAGACACACACACATGAAATTGTTATATTTATATAGACACAATGTTTTGTTGGCATCCTGTAGCCTCTCCAGGCATTATATGGTCAACTCTTGCTCTCCTGGAACAAACCACAGCAGCATGCCAGCAGCCACTGCTGTAGATGCTCCCTGACGAGCCAGCCATGCTCCTCGCTGCACGAGATACATCTCATAAATGCAGTCTCAGTAATATTATGAATGTACTGCCATACATTAACCCTATTTACTTGGGAAGAGGAGACTATGGCAGATTTGTTTGTAGCTACTGTCCCAGCCTCGCTAACTCTCACTGTGATCACACTGGGCCTCCCAGGCTTCAGGGACTGGGAAATTTTAACAGCCTTGTACTAACAGCAGTTTAACACTGATGCTAATGAAAAGAAAAATCACTCCCAACTCTTGTGTTAAACCACTTCTGCTCAATAGCAATCATTAAAGAGCTTTTGCTCTTTAAAGTGCTCCTCCAGAAACCACAAAGAAATCACTCAAATAACAGTGGAGTAGATTTTTAGGTTTTGAAGTTGAGTACTGATAAGCCTGGTACCTAGGAAATCCTGCTACAATGCAAGGCAACAAACCCACCATGTTAACAGAGGTACTTTAAAATACTCTGCACGTTTGCTTACTGCATATCAAGCAGCGGCTCTC